CTATTCTTAACTTATAACTTAAACATTCTCTATATCTATCTCTTACGGTTTGGCCGCTGAAACAGCACCACGGACAGACGGACGGATGGATTTGTCTAATAGATAAGAGATACTTAGCCGTGCGTTGGATCAGTGAGGCTGTTCTGTAAAATTTTCACCCGCGGATCCGATGCGGATCCTCTCGATTCCCATAGATTCGCGCGTGAAAATTTTAAGAGAATAGCCGCGCAGTTCCCATTCTAGTGTAGAATGTTGAAAAACAGTTGGAAAAACATGAATTAGTTACCTACTGAAGTGTTTTTAATATAAGATCTGACGAATTGTTTTCTTTTCAATGGACTTAAAATATAAATTGCGTCGGATTTTTTGCAGATTTGTCATCTTGTATTGCGGAAACATCAAACGGAAGGTCTCCGTTGGCGACATAAACACAAATTAATGTAAAAGCTTGTTAGTAGTTGAATTTATTGATCTTTTAGATTTTACACAAAACAATATTGTATTTAAAAAGATTTAGTAAAGGAGCTCGATGCCGCAGGTGGTTAGCGCATTTGGCCTGCGATCTTGAAAGTTAAGCAACTTTCGTAACATATTTGTTTCTTAGGTTTTCACGCATATCACATTCGAGCTACCTTCGAAAGACTTTTATTGAGCGTTTTGTCTTTCGAAGGTAGCTCGACAAATTAAATAAAAGTTTTATTCTGACGACGAAGCCTGTAAAGGCTACGAAACGTCATAAATAAATAAAGTTTCGTGCATTAACCCGTAAAAACTAGTTTTATTTAACTTTCGTAACGTTTGAAAAGAATTTTGGTGACTCGTTTCTTTGTCGCACTATCCGTAAATGGAATGCTCTGCCTGCTCACGTGTTCCTTCCCTCTTACAACCTGGGATCCTTTAAAAGAGGCGTGAAGAAGCAACATGCAGGCCGGCAGGGTTAGGATGGCTGGTGTGGCAGGTAGAACTGCTATATCAGCTATTTTCGCGTCTGGACTTCATCCTCACTTAACTTCAGGTGGGGTGGAGTCATTTGTCGGACTTATCTATAAAATAAAATAAAATACTACGCGAAAAGATACACATTTAATTGTTTGAATTCAGAATACATTGCACCATGCGTAATCTGAATTCAAACCATGAAATGTGTATCTTTTCGCATAGTAAATAAAGTTATGTTTTGAGTTGCTATGTGCAGCGTGCAGCGACGCGTCGCGTTTCGGTGTGAGCTGACGCTAAGATACATGTTCTGAAAAGCATCGCTGGATATGCAATTTTCTCTTTAATGTCGCCACACACGGGCCACACGCCACAGCCACAAACGCCGCCACGAGAAGCTAGAAGCGGCTACTAAAGTGGCTGAAGCGCGCGACAGCGGCCGACTAAGGTAAGGGAGAGAGGGGTGGGGAATCGCGCGAGTGACGTGTGGAGGCGTTTTGTATCGGCGCATTAAGTGGCCGGTGCGGGCCACAAGAAGCGAGCAACGACGATTTGTAGCGTGGGGCGGCCACCGGCGGCGTATCGTGTGTGGCGAGTCCATATAAAATGTATGAAAACTACAAGAAATATGCCGGTGGCGGCGTTTTGGTGGTTATGGTCGGTGGCCCATGTGCGGTGACACTTAGTTGCAGACTATAAAAGTTAGCGAATAAGCCGGCACATCAGTCATTCCTCTTATGAATTTCACACCATATCTCATGCCACCAGTCTAACGGAGTATTTCCATCTCTGCTGTACCTACCAATGTAGGCACTATGTATCTACAAAGTTTGAGTTCATCTTTCTTTAACAAAGCTCAACCAGGCGCGATCGCAACCTGAAATTTGTGCTAACCAAAACCTTGGCATTCTCTATACAGACTGAAAAGGGGGGACTAATGTTGAATTTGGTTTTGGGTTGGGAGAGTAGTGCCAGAATCGACAACAGTGTTTAGGTAATTACATGCATGTGTCCTGCCGTTGTGTTTATAGTTTGTTATAATAATTTACACTGATACTTATTATATATATATATATATATATATATATATATATATATATATATATATATATATATTATATTTTTGTAACATAGTATCCATGTGTGGTTATGAGTAGTCATGCTCTCTTAAAAATCTCTTCGGTGGTGTCGTGTGAGGCGGATCGTTGGGTTCCCTAGAAAATGGTTGAGCGAAGCGATGGCTGGTTCATGCGTCATGCTCGTGAACGGATGTTGCCAGCGGAGATGATGAAAGTGACTTTGAGTTACCTCATATTGAAGTCATTTTTCAATTTGACGACTCTGTATATAATACAGGGAGAAAAAAACAGCCCTTGCTGAGTTTCTTGCCGGTTCTTCTCAGTACAAGGTCTCCCGCCGAACCGATGGCGTAACTTTTCGACATTCACAAGTGCTTGTAACAGCCTAGACTGAATAAACGATATTGAATTTTGAATTTTGAATTTTTTAACGATTTCAATCATTCGAGGATCAGAGTAGTTTGGCCTGGCCGCGGGTCGTAGTTTGCCCATCCCTGATCTGCACTGAAAAAACTAATTCATGCTTTTACAGGCATCTTGAACTTGAGTGCTTGGAGTCACGCTCGCCATCAGGCGAACAGTAAACAGCGGCGGCGGCTGATGGCGAAACGGGGCGCAGACCGCGCGCCGGATATAGCTTTGGCAGAACACAAGTGTTAGGGCGACCAACACAAGGAACGATTTTAGGATAATCTCGGAATCGCTTTATTCTGAATACCACATTAAATATTAGAGACTAGGATAAACAATTAAATTGTGAACAATGGCAATCTTATTGCTTTACAGTGACTTTTTCCTCTCAATCATAAATTATCTTTTAGAGTTCGCTGAACTTTGATAGACAATGAAAGAGGATTGTAGATATGATAATCTGTATTAACTTATATGTTTATTAAATCAAAATCGTAGATGCACATAATATTATTAAAATATATTTAATTAAAAATAGACATAGCAAAATACTAAGATTAAACAAACGGTTGACACTCTGTCAGAACACAACATTTAAAAAAGACTATTCACCATTATAGTTTCAGATTACGTGTGCAATGAAACCACTTTCGTCCAACAATATTGGTGGGAAGATTCTTCTAAAATATAGAATGCTGTTTGATGTCTGTTTGTTAGTCTATGGGAATTTTTTTGTTCATAAATTATTAACACAGATAGCGGACAGGGAATAGAAAATTTCTTCTAGAATTGAAGTACTTGTCTGAAAAGAATATAATCTACTTACAGCAGACCACAGTGATATGGTGACTCTGTTTTGATGGTTTAGAGTTTCTGATAGTAAAGTAAGATTTAGGTCCGTATTACAGAATGACAACTAAGTTTTGATCTTTACTTGAGTACAGTTAAAAAGGAATATCGTTATGTGCTATAGCACACATATATATATATATATATATATATATATATATATATATATATATAGAGACATTTCTAACTATGCTCAAGACTAGATCAATCACTGAGAATCTTTCTATAATACAGGCCTAAGTGGTAGTAAGAAACAGGGATTGGATTCAGGCCAGTAAGGTGAGGATGACAATAGCAGCACTTATTGTCTTCTTCTATTTTCTACCTTTGTTTATCTTCACAACTGAGTAATATAAGACAGGGTGGAATAATTTTGTACCTTTGCATAAAGTAAGAATGTAATAGTTTCCAATATTTTATAAGCTTTGTCCGAGAAAACTTCCAAAAGTAACGCCACCGTAAATCCAATGGAGCTTTTCTAAGTATTATGCAATGGCGTTTCAGAAATTATTTTAGTTAGTCCGAAAACTGGCCGCGAAGCGCACACGTCTCCACTCTTCATTGAATCAACGGTCTTAACGAAACGAAATACGGTTCAATTTACAGTGATTAAGTGGAAAATTTGTGTTTTTTTTTTCCTTTTTCAATTTGTTTTCCTTTGATTTTAAAAGGTGTATTTTATTGTAGCTGCTTTTAAAATAATAGTGGCGGTGTTTTGATAGGTTCATTTGTTATTTTTTGTTTGTTTGTGCGTGGGTGTTTACTATTATACGGAAACGTGTAATAATCTTGTGCTGATGTTGTACAATTTATTCATATTAGAATGTAAACTTAATTTGACTAATATTGTTTAATTTTGTTTTGTTTTTTTTTTCAAGAATCTTGCATAGGAAAATGTTATGGTTTCGTAAACAAAATCAGTTTAATTTAAATAAAAATAGGTTACTCACAGAGCACAAAGAACGCGTAAATACAGAAAAAAATCCGTGCCCGGCAACTGAAATTCGGGCAATATTATTTCGGTACTTGCCACCCACTATTGCTGTTGGCGTGTTATCTGTACAAGCCACTTTGAATCTAAAGCCATCGTAATAGAAAACATTACTGCACTCTTAATTATTATCTTTCATCTGTTTTTAATGTGGTTTGTGTATGAACGCAAAGTGGTACAAATGGAATACGTCAACCATCGCTGGCTTCGTGGAGAATGATTAATCATCATCATAGACTCATTTCTTGAAATATACCAAACTTTGTCATAATATCATTATTTTTTTATTGAAATCATTAACTAGCACTTAGCGAAGAGACATTATGCAATAGTTGTACCTTAGCAGTAACTTGATGTAACAATAATTTACTGACAACAAACTCGCAATTAATCTTAGAGAAGTTGGCACAGTTAACTACATTACATTCGTAATAACAATCATTAATTAATTTGTAGTGACAAAAATATAATGTCCTTAATAATACTTTCTTAATTGTATACTGATCATTGATCAACAATTGTGTGCTCTTGAGTAACTAACAACTTTTGCAGATATCCAAATAAGTAGGCACGATTACAAAACAACGACTTGAATGAAACATTAATACAAAAAAGTTAACTGAAAACGATCGCGTGTAAAGCGATATAAGACAGTGCTAATATTTTTTAGTAAGCCAATAACCTGGAACATCAAAATAATTTGATTCAATAAGCCAAAAAACTGGAACATCAGAATGATGACTATAAGTGAGAGTCAGTATTCGTCGAACAAGAGGTCCAGCATCCACAAGATCAACGACAGAGTCATTCATCGGGACAGCTTCGACGATGTGAAGTCATCATCGAGTGTGAACAGCTCCCTCATCACCAAGCGTGGCTTCAAACCTTCCGACATGTACGATCCTCAAAAGAAAGCCTTCCTCACAAACCTCAGTTATAAGTTATTTCCTGTAAGTTGGGTAAGTTAAAACTATTCCTTTTAGAATTAGAGAAGGCTTCTAACAATGTTGTTGAGGTGTGCCGCAAGGATCAATGCTAGGTCCCATGCTGGGGCCCATTGGTATTTTTATTGGTAGGATTGGTACATTATATTTATACAAGTATCTATATTTTTATTATCTTATCTTATTTTATTTCAAATTACTTAAGTATTTATATTAACCGATAAATTAACAACATAACAAAAATATTTTACTGTATTTTTATTTATATGCTTCAAAATGGTTTTTTGCCTAGATTATTACAATACTTACTTATACCTACTATTTTCTGTGTTAGAATTGCAAGTAGCAATCGAATAATCGATGCGAATCTATATAAAATCCATGTAGTTTAAATATTGACAAGACGGCTGGCTTACTTCCAGAACCAAAATGTTAATGCCCATTGTTCCTTGAACTCGTTATACTCAGATTTTATCTGTAGGAAAAACCTTATAAAACTACTCCGTATAAGATTGATTTAGCTCGCCGAGCTGTTAACAATTCCAACAACACACTGAATAAAAGATATTGTGAAGATTTGTTAAATTATTTAATTTGGATTCAGTAACTAACTTATAGTTCAAAAGAATATAGTGTTATTGACAATACATAATTACATTAATATTTATTTTAACAACAACACTCTTGTTGCCGTCACTTAAATGTAAACTATTATTCAATTTTTAAGTTAAAAAAAGGTGTGTCACCTCAATGTCGAATGCTTACTTCGATCTACTCCATGCTATGGTGTAATTAATACATGAACAATAATAAATTACTTAATAACAATTAAAAATATCATATCAGTTCTCAAAGATATCAAATGTCTCCCTTCTTTGAGATATTGTGGCAGAAAGTTTCCAAATATTCTTATAATTAGATGCATCCAGAACATTAGGGGGACTTAAATAGGTTAATCTGTTGGTATACTTACGCCAGTTAGCACGTCCCCAAATAACACTGTTTTACAAACAAAATCCCGGACTGTGAAGAAGTTACGGGATTTGGGTTATGTGGAAACTCGACATGAATATTTATTGCGTTGTGTTTTCTTTTGTGCTGATCACACTTTTGACTTGACGTTTTACGAATATTTAATTAACTTCAAATCACTCTTTTAGGTAAACATATATCTGTGTTAACTTACCTCTAATTACTACTTATATCTAATTATGACGAGGGTACCATAACCATACTAAAGATATAAAATGTAGTAATAATAAAAAGAACTGACATATAAAATATGCTTCAGTACCTTATCTTGCCTAAACATTAGTGTGTAAGGTACTTTGTGATAATCATAATCAAAATCATTTATTCAGTTTAGGCTGTCACAAGCACATATGAATGTCTAGAAGCTACGCCATCGATTCGTAAATCGACGGCGGGAGACCTTGTACTGAGAAGAACCGGCAAGAAACTCAGCAAGGGCTGTTTTTTCTCCCTGTTTTATCATTTACAGAGTCGTCAAGTTGAAAAATGACTTCAGAGATGATTCATGAAGTCACCTTTCATTACATAATGTGAAATTATACATTAATTGTTCACCTGCATTTTGATTGCTGTGTCACACAGTATAAATACAATTACACAGGATGAATTGGATGAAATAATTTGTTCTTATTATATTTTTTTTCTTGGATATAACGATATAGTTTTGACTATTCTCAATATCATGGACTGTCCATGTATAATTATTTAGGTCAGTCTTTTTGGAATGTGCTCCCTTTAAAACTTTTAGATATTTTTTTCAGGATTGTCATCTTTTTCGAGGAATAGTTTATTTAAAACAGTATGTTTTAGATAATAATTCCTACATTTTTATCTTTGTCCACCTACCTTTTGAGCCGTCATAGGTTCAATTTGACTGAGTCAGTACTGTATTCAGCGCTGCGCAGGCGGCGGCGGCGATACAGTGGGCGATTTATGAAAACAACCGATCTTGTGATTCAAACGTGCAATGATCGGATTAAAAATTGTAATTTATATATTCTACCTGCTTTTATAAGAAATCTCAATCTCATTTTAATGACATATAGGTACTTGGGGTACCTATATCTCATTAAAATAAAAAAATACAACGGAACGTCAGTTGAAATCTTATTTTGGATGTAGTTATTCGTTATTGTGAGGGCAAGGTAAGGCAATATGGAAGACAGTTTTTTAATTCCCCAGAAATTATCAAAGAATGGTCATTCAGATCTTGTGGAATTGGACTCCCAGTCCCCCAAATAATGGTCAAATTACGGTGTATACCACAGAACACTTTTGATTCCCAACAATATTAACATTGTTTTCAATTCCCCAGATATTATCAAAGAATGGTCATTCAGATCTTGTGGAATTGGACTCCCAGTCCCTCAAATAATGTCCAAATTACGGTGTGTATACCACGGAGCACAGAAAAAGGTTAGAAGGGAATAGACCGTTTGTACGGGAACCGATGTTGCCGGCTCGGTCCCACTATACTTCCACCTAATTGATAATAGCCAATTAAAAGACGCGACATCAAAGAATCGAACCAATCAGCTCTCGCACCCGAGAGCAACGACGCAATCAGAACCAAGCTTTGGTGAAATCACATCACTTATTTTGGAAATCGCAGAACGACTATTAGAAATATAATGCGATTCAACTAAGAACTGGGCGCCATATTTTGACGCCATATCTGTCAATTCAAACCAAATAGGTAGAGTGAGCAAAAAAATTTTGCTATTTAATAAAACTTATTTACTAAGATTAAGTGAGACAAAACATCAGATTTTTTAATAAAATTGATTTACTTAGGTTGAGAAAGAACACAACCGATTTTTAATAGTATTTCTTTATTAAGACTGTGTGAAGAAAAACATTAATCAGAATCTAGCTCTTCAATTTCGCTCATCTCTGCATTACCGCCGGAGAAGTTATGAATGATCGTGCAAGTCACATACGAACATGCATCCTATATGTAAACGAAAGTTTTAAATCGAGTTTTTGAACGCAACATAAAGTGACATTTGGTTGACGATTTAGGTTATCAACCATTCATAGCCAAAGCTCAATAAATGAAAAAAAACAACTAATATTAAGTATCAACATTTCTTACTGTTTGTTTAAAAATGTTTGGTTTTTATTCTATAATCAGCTGAGTGCTAAAACAGTGTTCCGAGATTTTTTTGCAAACCGTACTTTTCAAGCGACATTTGACAGATGGAGGTCATTGGCTTTCCTATTCTTATTTGAATCGCATTATAAGTCCGAAACTGACTTTTAAACGAGACGCCACTCGACTAGTCAAATCAAATGTTCTAGTTTCTAGAGTCAACATTAGGAACATCCGACGCGAAGCGATGCGCACACACTGCAAAATGTAGGACAAAGAAAATACGCGTCGCGTGGCGTCGCGTTTCAAAAGTCTGTTTCGGCCATTAGGCAATTCTTCAAAAAATCATTATTGTGAAAATTTCAACTGTCTGACTAGACAGTTGCGTTGTCATGTAAATATTAAAGTGCCCTATATAACTATTAAAAATTAAACCATACACATTATATTAAGTTCATTGAATTGATCGATCAATCTTTTTAATCAATGTATCGTAAGATCCGTTGATGTCAGTGCGTAGGCGCACTATGTTAATATTTGTATTGGTGTTAATGCACTCTTTATGTTCTATACTCATGCAGTCAGTGAACTGCGTGTGAGTATTCTAGAAGCATCATCATACCATTCATGTTGCGTGATGACGTGTAACGATCTTACCTTTTCAAGGCTTTACGCTGAAACTGTCTTAATAGTTCCCACTCAATAGCGCGGTGGTTATCGTGCTCGGTCTGTGTTACATCATCATGAGATGGCTGACCAATACATATTTCGGGCTTATTTTGACGACCTTCGTGGCCGAGTGGTTTCAAGGTGTCGCCTGCTCCAGAGGTCCCGGGTTTTCGAATTCTGGTGAAGGGTAGATAATTGTGTGATGAAAACGAGCATTTGAACTGGATGTTTGATATGTATTTCTATGTAAATATAGTTACATGTTTCTATCCGTTACCCTAGCATCCCTAACACAAGCCTACAGTGCTTACTTTGGGGCCAGGCTGATCGATGTGAGTGTTGGAAATATTTATTTATTTACATTATAAAAGTTTACTAGTTTCGTGTAAGGAATTCCTTATCGAAACCAGCAATTTAAATCAAATTGATATATAGAAAAGTGGTCCAAACATTGTTATCAAACCAGCAATAACCTCATTAATGTGTAAATAAAGTGGTATACATAATAATAACAAGGAAACGAAAGCCTTAAAAAAATTTCAACAATGAATAATATTCTAACGATAATTGTCTCAAAAATCTTTTGAGAGTGCTCGTGCGAAGCGTTGCTGTAGTTGAAACATTCAACGATTAGCATTATGCCGCATAATTCGCTCTAGTGCTGTAATTGGAAAACTTCCCTTATTAAGCATGACAAGCACAAACTGTTGTCAAGTGAAGGGCCGACATAAAACTCGTTACTCTGTGGTTATGGTGCAGGCAGTTTGCATTCGTAGTAATCTGTGACATTCGTGCATTCCAAAGAGTAGTTTAATATACTATTATAATTATGAAATAGGAATGCAATAAGCAAATTAGGAAATAGGCGAAAAGGTTATAAAGTGTAATTAAAAGAAAATAAAATGACTGTAGTCCACTGCCTAAAAATCATATACCCGTATGCTATGTATTTTAGATTTCTAAATTATTTTAATGTGGTACTTACTTTGTTCGACTGATTTGTGCTATCGTGAGGTAATTAATTTAGGTCTACGAATCGAAACTCATATGAAGAGTACAGGAAAAGAATGATCAAAGTATTTTTTTTATAAATTAGACGATAAATGATTTCTTAACTTAGAAGACTCATAAGTACTTGAAGAAATGACACAATAACAATAATTTAGATCAAAGTCCACGGACTCTGATCGTTTTTAGCTTTTACCGCTTAGACTATGATCAC